GCAGGAACAACAAGGAAGACCACCTCATGCTACACAACAAACAATAGCAGGAAAACTCTTTAGAAATCTCTTCAAGGGTCTTCTCTTCTCACAACTAACCTTAATCTCTCTACTTGTGATCGTTCTCACGATTCGCGGTCTAATCTTAGCAAGCTCGCACCATTTCCAACCCAAGAAATGGTACCCTCCATTACTAGCATCTGTTGGTGTCTCAGGAGTTGCATCTTTAGCTTGGCAATGCATCTTTATCTACAATCCATCAAGAGCAGTCAAAGCAACGTTTTGGCTTAGTCCAATACTCACTTGCTCGGTAGGGATCTTGCTTGTTCTGATTGGCTCTGCGATAGATGCAGGGATTGGTGCAGTGTTTGTTCTTTTCTCCATTACACAATCTCTCTATGGTTGCTGGATCACTAAGAGGCTTGAATACACCGACAAGGTATTATCACTTTCCACAGCTTTTCCACCTGCAAGAACCAGAGAAGTAGTCAGTTTATCGATCATTGTAAGCGTCGTTTACTCTGGTTTCTTGGTGACTGGAATTGGAGGAGCAACTTCCACAAGAGCAAATCTAGATCTTTTGTTTATCTCTGTTATAATGATAAGCTTAGCTTGGACAATGCAAGTTCTCAAGAATGTACAACAAGTGGCGATTTCTCGGGCGAGGTATGTGAACTTTGCACATGGAGAAGACATGGACGCTTGGGATGCTTTTCGCGTCACGGTAAAACACTTGATTGGAAGCATCTGCATTGGCTCAACACTTGTTCCAATCATCGTACTCATCAGAGGATCGATCAGAAGTGTTAATCTAATGTCAGGGAGTAGCGATGAGGTCATGTATTCCGGTGCTGATTGCTTCTCTACCATTGCTAATAAACTCATTACATATGGAAATAGATGGGGATTTGTACATGTAGGAACTTATGATAAAGGATTCATCGAGGCTTCGAGTGATACATGGAAGAAATTCAGAAGTACAATTGGTTTAGAGAAACTGATTGATTCGGATCTCACTAGCTCGTTCTGCTTCCTCAGTGCGGTTTCCGTTGGATCAGTCTCTTCATTGTGTGCAGGAACATGGATGTTGTTAATCCACAAGGACTATGCTCTTGAAGTCACTCTCTATGCTTTCATAATTGGATATTTCGTGGTAAGATTTGCTAATTTTAATGTCATTTAGCCGTAAAGATCAAAAAACAGAATTAAAGACAAAGTAGCTTATGTTTTGTGTGTGTTTTTTCAGGGAAGAGTAGCTTTGGTCTGGATACAAGCATGTGTATTGGCCTACTATGTAGCTTACTCCGAAGATCCTCAAAGCGTGCGCTTTGACGGTACGATTCCACATCGTATTCAACGTCTTCAAATGTTAAGTGCGCGACGAGAGAACAGAGAGTTTGAGGTTGGTAGAGAAAGAGAAGATAGTGATGATTGTTGAGTCACAAACATGTAAAGCAAAACAGAGGATTAGTCCTGTTTCGTCAAGCTTTATAGATTTTATTGATAGGAAAATGTTAGATTCAACATGTTGATATGTTTAAAAATCTGGCTAAAGATGGAATGTGTATACTCGTTCTCCTTACATTATACGAAATTTTTTTTTAATGCAACGAGAGTAATATTTGTTTTTATAACTAACTAGATTAGGATCCGCGTTAATACGCGGATTAACGCATTAAAAACTATTTAAGGGCTGTATATTTAAACTATTTAAGGGATCCGCGTTAATACGCGGATTAACACATTAACACGTAATCCGATTTTTTTGGACTTGTATATTTAAATCCGAACCCGGTGTATTTAAGGGATGGGCCGGGTCGGGCCTCGGGTTTTGACTCTAATTGACTTGCCTAAACTTAACTCATGGTCGTAAACCGTTATGCTATTTTTACGGAATTTTATTTTTCTCTATATCCTAATTTTATGTGACAAATAAACAACTACAAGCATATATAATCCCTAAAATCTGAAATAGGGCGTATCATCATAATGCCGCATAAGAAGGAGATGATCGGTTCCGACGAAAGGACCTACACCGATTCAAAGTGGCCGATGCTTGTCCCCGACCTGATTCGATTGGTCTTCGAACACATGAACTTTGCAGCTTTTCATAAAGCAAGGTCCTTCTCTTTAGATTGGTATTCCACTGCGGAATCATGCATTAGACAGAACCCAACTCCATGGATAATCCTGTTTTCAAGCAATCAAGTGGAAAGTAATGATGATGTTTCATGTAAGTTGTTTGATCCTCATCACAAAAAAACCTACTTAGTAAGAGATCTAGGGTTTGGTTTCCATAAGAAGTCAGTGTTTAGCGAATTCATGTAGTTGGTTCTTGATGTTAGACCATAGAACAAAATTTTATCTTTTGAATATGTTTACTCGAGAGAGGATTCGTCTTCCAACCTTGGAATCGATTGATGGATGCCAGATGAGGTTCGATAGGGTCGGTGAGTCTAATTTCGTGGTGACCTTACGTGATGAAGCTTGTCGACTTTCGTCTATTAGTACTAGCATAAAAGTTAGAATAAACCGTGCGGTTTTGTGGGTAGATGAAAGAAGCAGAGATTACTTTGTTGTGTGGAATTTTGATTGCTTTTTTGCATATCACAAGAGAGGAGATAGTGACAAGACCTGGAAAGTGCTTCGACAATGAGGTTGTGACGATATGGTGTTTAAAGATAGCAAGCTTTACGTGCTTGGTAGTCGAAAGATCATTGTTTATGATTTCTCCGTTGGTGATTCTCCAAAGGAATGTGCAAGTTTCGCCCTTCCGGATTGTTATGGGAATTATTTCAGCAATCTTGCTGTAACTTTGTCCGGAGAAGTTATAATCATTTCAAGTATCGGGAGATCCTTCTTCAACTTCTACAAGATGGATCCTAAATCATCAGGATGGAGTATAATCACTTCTTTAGGGGACGAAGCATTGCTTTTGGATCAAGGAATGACTGTTGCAGCTAAAGATGGAGTTATGAAAAATTGCATATATTTTAGTAATGATATGCTTCGTAGAATCATCGGGACTAATCTACGCAAGGATGATAACGGTATTTGCGTCTACAATATTCAAACCAAGAAGGTAGTCCAAGAGTTTCCACATCTTACTTCGTCGCCGTTACCTTTCAAGGATGCTCGTTGGTTTTTCCCCAATTTTGGTGGAAAATGGTTGCTTTAAAGCTATACGAGTTTTGTCTTTTGTAAAATCCTTAAAGGGTAGATTATATATATTTTTTAATTGTGAACGAAGAGTTTTGCTAGTTTTTATATTTAGTATCCAAAGGGTTTGAAAACCATTCTCCACTTTCTATCAAATTTATAGAATATAAACTTGTTGTTTATCATTTTGAATTGAAAACTAGTAGTTCATTGACTCGTAGTCCACCGGTGATCAGAAAGTTTTTCGGTTCCATTTTAAAAACTTTGGTAGCAAGTAAACGGATGGTATAATTAAGTTGAATTAAATATTATGGAGATTTTGAAAAATACCCTAAATTTTATAGAAATTTGAAAAGTGCACTTAATCTTGTAAAGTTAGAAAAATATACATTTTTGTTACGTAAAAGTACATAAATACCCTTATACATATTTAACATGCTAAATAAACGAAAAAATAATGTAAAATTA